GCCGTGCTGTCGTGCCAAGGAGACTGGCTGGTGGGTGCTAGGAGCCGAGTGGAGAGAGACGTGCTGCCGTGCTGTCGTGCCAAGTAGACTGGGTTAGGAGCCGAGTGGAGAGAGACGTGCTGCCGTGCTATCGTGCCAAGTAGACTGGGTGGGTGCTAGGAGCCGAGTGGAGAGAGACGTGCTGCCGTGCTATCGTGCTTTTTCGCCTCGCCGGAGCCGGAGATGAGGTAGACGTGCTGCAGTGCTGATGCGCTGGACATTTGAATTGATGGCCGTGAGACGGTGGGGCTGGGCTCGGGGAGACGTGCTGCTGTGCTGACGTGCTGGACATTTGAATTGATGGCCGTGAGGTTGTGGGGCTGGGCTCGGGGAGGCGCGAGGGGAGCTCTGCTGATCTGCTGAACTGCGTCTGTGCTGACGGGCATTTGAGTGAATGGCCGTGAGCGCGATGGGGTTGGTTGGGGGGGCACTTAAACGTTCGGGAGTGGTAAGCCGTGAACGGTCTAGCGTGAGATGATGGTCGAGAAGGCCCCGCCGCCTTCGCCCTCGCCGGGCCCGCGCGTGCGTCGCCGCGCCGGCTCCCCCGCGTGAACACACCATTGCGCGGCGACGTCTCGCCCGTGCCCGGTCCCTGTCGGTTGAGACTGCCGCAACGTTCGCGATGCCGCAACGTTCACTCGAGGCTGCACCGTCGCGAGCATCGCGCAGAGGCGTGGGGCGATCGTGCGTGCGCGCCGTCGAGGCGCAAGGCACGCCACCGATCTCGCTCGGTGCGCGCCGAACGCCAATACATATATCCCATCCACATCCTGACAGAATATTTTACCGTCCGCGTGCCCCGACGCAAATAGGCGAGGCGCCGCAGCACTCACACGAGACGTGCCTCCGCCGGTCTCACCGCCCGCGCCGACGACATGACGCCGTGGCGGAGCGGCCCTGCCATCGCGCTGTGGAGGGCTTTTCGAAAACTTCGGCCGATGGCGTCGCAGGCGCCCGCGCGCGTCTCCGCCTGCGCCACGCCTCTTCGCGCCGTGGTCAGGCTGAGAGGTACTGTGAATAGGGTCGGAGAGAACGAGCATTGGCCGCCCGACCCGCTCACGGGGCTGAGGGCGGGACCGCTCGGCCCGCACCAGCGGGCGGTGACGACGCCGTCGTGTTAGTGGCGCGCTTACAGCTGTGAACCGCCGCAGCCGCTGCCGCGGTCGGAGGAGGAGGCGGCGGAGGGGGAGGCGGGGAGGCGGAGGGTTTGGACGGCGACGCCGACCCGCTCGCGTTTGCGGACGTTGACGTCCATCGTCCGGCGCCTCGCGCTGCGATGAGCTGCGGCGGGGGCTGCGAGACGAGGTTGCGAGGCTCGTCCTCTCGGACCTCCGCATCTGGGCGCGCGCGCACGTGTCGCTGCAGTGCGAGGCGGCGCGGCGGCTCGCGCGCATCGCGGGCCCCTCGCCCGCCGCGGAGACCGCGCCCCCGTACCCGCCCGCCGCCGCCGCCGCCTCCGCAACAGTGACGGTGCAGCATCTGCTGCTGCTGCTCCGCGCGGTCTTTCCCTACCCGAGCGGCCGGGGGAGGGAGCGGCGTCTGTCCGGTCGCGTCGGCGGCGCTGGAGGCGGCGGCGGCGAGGGCGGCGTGGCCGCCGTCGGCGCGGTCCGGCACGAGCTGCTCCGCCTCTGCCGCGCTTTGCCGCCGTCGCGTGGGGAGGAGAGAGAGAGACCGTCCCCTGATACACAGTCCGCCCCCCGCCCCCGCGCCGCCGTCGCGTGGGGAGGAGAGAGAGAGACAGTCCCCTGATACACAGTCCGCCCCCCGCCCCCGCCCCCCGCCCCCACCCCCGCCCCCTTATATCGCCTCAAGCGCCCCAGCGCCCACGCCCCCCCCGCTCCCCTCCCGCGCCTCCAGGTCGACCTCCTACTGACTCAGCTGCAAGAGATCACCGACGCCGACGCGCGCGCGGAGCTCCTCTCCCTCCTCGCCAGCTGGACCCTGCCCCACCCGCTAGAGGCCCCGCACGCAGACGCCGCTAGAGGCCCCGAGCCGCACCCGCCGCCGCTCAGAGCTGACCGGGCCCTCCCCGAGCCTTCTTGGCGTCTACCTGTAGGACCCCGCACGCCCACGCCAACGCCGACGCGACCAACCGCCTCCCGCAGCCTCCTCCTTCCCGCACCTGCCACCGCCGTGGCCGCCGCTTCCGTTGCCGCCACCGCCTCCTCCGCCGCTGCCTCCGCCGCCCCCCCCGCGGCAAGCGGCGCCGGCGCCGTGCGGACGCTCTGTGCGGCGGCGGTGAGTGCGCGGGGCGGGCTCGGGCTGGCGCTGCGGGCGATGCACACCCAGCACGAGGGCCAGCGGGTTGCCGCGGTGTGTGGCTCGCGAGATTCCCCCGAGATGACCCGAGATTCCCCGAGATCACGAGGGCCGCTTCGGCGTGTGGCTCGCGCGGGCTCCTCCCGCGACACAGTCGGCTGC